CCCCCATCCCCCGCCTTGCCCGAGCCACTCCCACTTGCGCGTCGCGCGTCGCCGGCGGAACTGGCAGTCGCCGGCCGGCACTGGGCGCCGCCAGCTGCCCGCCCAGCTGATCCATGGAGTACGCGGGCCGCCGGTGCCGTCCACGCCGGCCGAGTTGCACAATCGTGCTAAACTTGCGAGGGATCCGCCTGCAACGCACGGAGCCGAAAGAAAAGTCGTAGACGGTTTTCTGTTTGGTACGTATGGTGACTATAAAGGAAGTGTTCAGAAGTTTGACACTACGGAGAACGCGGCTGTCATAGTGGTACACTTTCAAGTGTTGTGAATGAAATAGGTCTCTTCCGTGCGCGCAAGTGTTGAACCACGACAACAGCACGCTTTTGCGGGATGAGCACCTTGCCCAAGTGGCCACTACCTTGCTCCGTAAGATAAAAAAGAAGATGGTGGCGTAGCGTAGCGCGGTCTCACAACAAAGCAACATAACCTGATAGCAGCACCTTTGTGGATGTTATTTGATAAATTTCTGAACATATGTATCTTTGAGTAAAGAAGTTCCGACCAGAAACGGATCGTGGAAGCAGATGACACCAGGCAGGGTTGGGAACGTTACTTTGAAAACTAACGGCGTTAGTGCGTTATCGTTATCGTTAGGTAACGATAACGATAGCGCGTTACATTTTCGGGTGTCGGTAACGGGTAACGTAACGCGTTACTAAACCTCAGTAACGATAAACGCCGTTACCGTTATTAGGCTTCGCGTGCGATTAGCAAATCGCGAAGCCTTATGACGAGATCGCGATGTTTGTGCCATCGTGTAACCTACCTGGACCCCTGGACCCACCCGCACGGAGACCCGGTGACCGTCCCCCACACACAAAAAAAAAGGTTCGAGTGGGGGCGGGGCAGGGGGCCGCTCCTGGGCCGCTCTTGGCGACGTCGTCGGGGGCTGGCCGCGCGGTAGCGGAGACAGAGGCGGTATGATCGCAAACAGTGTCTGGAGCTATCTGTGTGAATATATAATGTTCAACATTTCGTTCAGGGGGTCCGCCCCGCTCGGTGTTGTTGCAAAGGGCAAATGAATCGAATAAGAACGCCGTCAAATGTTTCCCAAATTTTGAACCTAGCAAGAAATTGCCCAAGATTTCTGGATGAATCATCAACCTTTCACCCCTCTTCCAAAAAAGTCAGATGCTTCTATGATGTGAATTTTGACTACTGAAAGACGTTGTGGTTCTCTCCCTCCCTTCACAAAATTATCTTACAAATATAAAAATATGTTATCTGTAATAAAAGGGATCTGCTAGTTATTTTATGGACTTATACCTTGACCCCTGCTTTTCCATGATGGTGTTTATGTTGAAGTCAAGGCGTTGCGCTGGCCAGTGCCCACACCAAGTACGCGAAGCCTTTTTAAGCCACATTGAATAATGTGGACTTGACGGATTTTTTTAAACTAGGTAGATGTACGCCAGACCACGTCTCGCGTAACAGGCTTCGCGAAATCTCACGAAACACTGTTGCGCTGCGACGCGCCTGGCACACATCTACCTAGGCCTAGGCCTGCGGCGCTGACACACGAGTCAGGTAGCGCCAAAATGTACACAAAGATACGGGCCTCCGGCCCGTCAACTTCAAGTCACTTCGACTAAGCATGCAGGGTGGTACATTTTTACGCTTATTTTCGTCAAAAACTTCCTGTGGCGCCTAAATGGTTCAAAATAGAGCCAAACGGACGAAATTTACGCCCAGTGGGCTCTATTTTGATGAGTTACCCCTTAAAAAACTGTAATAAAAATATTTAAAAAATAATATTATTTGTGGGACCTGTGGTTTTTGATTTTTAAAAAATCCAATTTTTGAGCTAGAATGCTCTTCTTCGAACTCGATCTGTCTTTTTATGATACAAAACGACCCCGAAAATCCCAGGTCGCTAGCTCAATTCGTTCTCGAGTTATCGTGATGACAGACAGACACACAGACAGACAGACAGACGCGAAACTTTTGGATCATCACTGGAGTAATAGGCTTCGCTAATCGCTCAGCCAATCAAGATTTTCTCGATTTAGAGTGTACAAATACGTCTTATTTCCGGGCAAGCCATGCAACGGAGCCGTTTTGAGTCGAATTTTACCGTCCGTACCTCATCAAGAAAAAATTCTGCACTCTGTAAGGACTTTTCCTTGCCTTCTTCATAATTTTCTACTTTCTAGCTTATTTTATACCTTCCGCTGTGACTTTCGGTAACGATAACGCCGTTACAAAGTAACGGTAACGATAGCGCGTTATAATTTAGAGAGCCAGTAACGGTAACGATAACGCGTTACTTTGGGTCGAAATAACGATAACGCGTTACTATTTGAAAGTAACGTTCCCAACCCTGACACCAGGTCAACAATAGTGCTCGCCTCGGTGCTCGCAATAGTGTGCTCCAGGCCATCCAGCACGGAAGTTAGAAAAGAACAAACTCACTATTTTTCGGTTTCCGTTTCGCCTCTGATTGGTGGAACTGGTAACGTGCATTTACCGAGCCTCTATGCACTTTTGGGTTTGAAAAACTGTCTGATAAGTTACGAACTTCCCTCCATATTTGACGGGGTTAGAATGTAGCCAAACTACCATGATAATTTCTCATACGTAGTCGCTGCACGTAAACACCTGCACCAGTGAGTTTGTCTCAAAAACGTATGACTAAGATTTTTTAATACATTGGCAAATTGTCATTTTTGATGCTACTAAACTTCGTTCTGGTATAAAATGGTTCCTTTTTTCTTTTCCAAATTGTTCGGAAATTTCCAAGAACTGGACTGGAAATTTTGTTTTCCAACAACTGTTTGGAAAATCGTGTTTCCAAACTATTCGGACAGAATTTTGTTGGAAAATTCCGTCTTTTATTTACAGTGAAGTTTCCTAACAGTTAACCTCGAGTCGGTGGAGGATTGCTGACGATGAGTGACGACTCCGACAACGCGGAGCGGGATCCGATGAGTGACGATTGCGACAACGCGGAGCGGGATCCGGCCGATCCGGCCATTCTGCGAGCCGCTCAGGCCAAGGACTGGGATCGTGTGCGATCTCTTGCTGAGAGCGGCTGCGCTGTGGACGCCACGGGCAGTGACTGGCAGAAGACGGCGCTGTACTACGCAGCTGAGGAAGGACAGGCTCGACTGGTGAGTGGGCCTGTCATATATTTTGTCCTTAAGTCCACAGACATCCTCAGTATCGCCAACCGCATTAAATGCGCTTCAATTCGCATTTAAATGACATAAAAGGTGACACATTGGTGAGGTTGGCCCGCCGCCAACCGCTCTGCGCAGGAGCTTCGCACATTTGCCAGCTCCGTTCAGCGCAAACTACCTTCACAAGTCGTCTTCAAACAACCGCTGGAGCTCCTGCCGCACGGGCGGGAGGTTGTGTTCGTCGTGCCGGTCAAGTACGCCGCCGACGTCCGCGCTGCCTGCAGGACCACCCGCGCCCCCGGAGGCGTCACGGTGTCTTGGGGTGGCATCCAGCAACTTGCCGGCCAGCGGCAAGTACAACATGTTCCTCGCATCCTCCTCGCTGTGCCAAAAGTGGTCCCCGTGGAAGACGCCGAGCGGAACTTGCAACTAGTGCTGAAGACTCAGTCGGTTGCCTACCTGGACGGGGTGAACCCACAAGAGCACTGTTCCCCCGGTCGTTGGAAGTACCGGCTTTACGCCGTAGAGGACGCCCACCTAGCCTCCTTGCTCCACCTCCTCACCGAAGGACTCAAGGTGAAGAGCATGTACTTCGACGTCAGGCACTACGTCGCCTCCGGCAACGGGCCGAAAGACTTCAAATGTCATTCGGTCCCGAAGCCTGTTCTCCCAGTGCACACTCACGAGGTGTGCACGGCCACAGACGACGTCTCTCTTCCTCCACCATCTAAAAGGAAGAGAGAAACCACCGGGGCCAACTCTCCTGCACAAGCGCCGGAGAAGAAGGCGAAGAAGACCGCCCCGCCGAAGGCGCCGCCGAAGACATCGCAGTGCTTCCGGTGCCAGAAGTGGGGCTGCTCTCTCTCCCGGTGTGAGGGCCCCGACACCTGTCGTCGATGTGCCCTTCAGCACCGCTCGTCAGCCTGCCCGAAGACTGACCCGGTGCGCTGTGCGAACTGCGCGGGAAATCATGTGGCGAGCTCCGGCGCATGCCCTTCCCGCCCCCAACATCAGCAGAAGCCAGCCCCGGCCAGCCGCAAACGCCCCAAGAGGCCCAGCGACCGCCTGGCCACTCCATCACCATCTGACCTGGCAACCATCCTCCAGGTCATGGCTCTGCAACTCCTTGAGCGACTCCTCCCCGGCCGTAAGCTTTCGGGCCGAAAACCGAGGCGGAGAAAACACAAAAAAAAAACAACAAAAACCAAAAACCTAGACCCCCAAACACCCCAAAAGGCATAATGATAGTATTCTGGTCGAAATAAATTGAATGTCGGGAGGTCACCTGGTGGAGTAACTCGAAGAACCACCAGGAAAAAAAAAAAAAAAAAAAAGGTAACTAATTGACCTTCCTTGGCAGAGAAGTCAAAATTTTTGCAAAGTGCCTGAGCGAGTCCGTATGGGAGCTTGTCGTGGCACATCGTTGGAGTTCGAGCTCTAATTATTCACTGGATGTAAACACTTCACGATAGTCCGCATCGGAGAATTCTGTAACCTTTGGGCTTTTTAGTGCCACCTGACGTTCCACAGCGAAGTAGTTTCATTGACTGCACCCTAAATGCATTCACCGAGATACGCATACATATGTCGCTAAAAATTTTGATCTAGGTAAAAGGTCCTATCGACATCTACCAAGTGGCCATAATTGACGTCTTTAAGACGTCTATAATAGACATCTAGGTATCTACTTTTAGATGGCAAATAGAC